ACCCTGGGAGCTCTGGTTGGTTGGTATTGTTGCTCTCCTCATGGTGGCCAGTTCCATCTTAAGGAGTTACTTTAGTATTTGAAGGTCTGATGATGAAGTAGGTAAAGGAGACGACAGTTTGGTTCTTCCTGCTTTCCTGAGATACTGCAGTTGAGAAGCAGGAGGAGAGGAGAGCCTCACTGACTTCTCACAGTGTAACAGTGCCAGTGTAGGTTACTATTCTCTGCTCAGATATCTGGGCATGTTGCCAACACCCAAAAAGGAATGACTTCTCTCTTGGCAGGGCATTAATGACCTTCCTGCAGACACAGGCTGTCTTAAGAATGTGCTGTTTAGTTGAAAGGCTTGAATTTAAGTTTCCTCTCTGTTATTCCTCAGAATAGCATTCTCTTTTTACTTTCTATTTACACGTATTCCTGCAATATAAAAGACACAAGGTATCATTCAGATCCCTCTAGGTGTTCTTAGCTGACTCCGCTATGGACAATGGCAGAGTTCCTTTTAAAAAGGTTTTGAATTGGCTTAAAAAAAAAAAAAAGACAGCTTTTGTTCTTTCTTTATGAGGCAGGGTCTCCCTATGCAGCTCTGGTTGGCCTGAAACTTGGTATGTAGTCCAGGCTTGTTTCATACAATCATAGAGCTGTCTGTCAATGCATCCCAAGAGCTGGGATTTAAGATATGTACCACCACACTGACTGGAACTGACACTTCTTTTCTAAAGCAGCAATTTGCTCACATCCTTTTCCCAGCAGACAAGATGGTTCTGAATCATGTGAGACTGCAACATCACAGAACTCTTCTACCTGGAACAGCTCATATCTTCTGGCCCAGATGTGACTCTAGGGGTAGACCAGTTCTGTCTAGTGCATAACAAACTCAACACTCTAACCAGAGGCCCTGGATCTCCCTGACCTTGGGAAACCTTGCCAGGCTGTTTTAAGATTAGATGAAACAATTCCTAAATGCCCTTTCAACTTCAGAATTTCAACACTCTGAATGACAAGGAACAAAGCTATCAGATGTCACATGCTGACTTTGTGATTTACCTCCTAATGGGGATTATGAAGTGACTTGTCAAACACATAACACAATCCTGGTAAAAGGGAGGGATAAGAGACCCTGGGTGCAAACCTTGTGACCTTGAGAAACTCGTTTCCTGGGTCTCAGCAAACCAAATTTTAGTATTTGAAGTGGGCTTTTGGATAAGATGATTTAAAAAAGGTTTTCATATAGATCTAGTCTGAAGTTCTTGGGTAACTAGTACCGTTTTATAACTAAAATTATTAAGGCAGAAACTGCTTAAGCCATAATTTAAACAACTACTTATGTGCCAAAATAACTAGGCAATGATGACTGGAAATTAGTAGTTATCCCCTTAGGGTCTCTTATAGAGGTTGAGGAAGTTTTTGTCCTTGTTTGAAAACATGTCTTTTGGGTTCTGTGAAATTTCCAATTCATCCAAAAATTTCCAATTCATCTCACACTCTCTATCTTGAGATTAAAGGAGAACAAGTATTTTTAAAATGTAAATTCTAAAATACGTAGCAATTTCCAGTCTGGTGGCAAATGTCACCTTCACACAGCACACAGATTAGTCCTACGTCAGAGCTCTTTTACTACCCCCCCCTCCCCGCCCCATGCTGGGGACAAGATAGATCTAGAGCTTCAACAAGATGGTTGCCTTACATCTGCAAGAAGGTCTTTGGAACTGATGACAGGGTAGGAAAGAATATCCGGACTGTTTGACTAGCGATGCTAATGAGTCCTGGCATTACAAACGGAGACCAAGAATAGGTTTTCAGTAACATTTGTTTTCTTTTAAATTAAATATGGTGGAAATATGTCTCCTGAAAACTGGGATCATAACCTGGGACACTACCTCAACATCAGAGGCCTAGTCTTTCCAAGAGCTTAAGAGGCAAAATAGAGTTAGGATTCAATTCTTACCCTCCCATCAAATCTCATCCCCCGCATCAAATCCTTTAAGGTTCTTCGTAGAAAATTTTGACCCTTAGTCATGCGCAAGGATTGAGACCCGCCCCTCCAAGGACAATGAGTTCTCTAGAGTCCTTTTAAGAATCTCCAATGGAAGCGAACCCCTTTCCAATTTTTGGATTACTGCGACAGCCGCGAGGATGTGTCGCGTTTTCGCAAACCGCGCGAAGGACAGCGCCTGGCATTATTGCTTTTCTAAAGCGCATCAAGAGCAGGAGGAGGCCGAGAGGCCGGAGCTGCTGCAGGTTTCGGGAGCCCACACTCACCATAATTGCAAACTGCAAGGTTGATCTCTGCACCTGCAAAGGCCTTCTCAAGCAGTCAGGTCACCTCTACAGCGGAACAGATTCTGAGAAAGAGCGTGGGGCTGGCCAGCAAAGGTTCGGCTGGAGCCCCGGCCCTTTCTGGGAGGTGTAGTTCTTCCGGTGATCTCTGGCACCCATCTCCGTGCATTCCTAACAGTGCTAAACTACAATACCCCAAAGCCCTTTCTTCCTACGCGCCTCGAGAACTGCAAAGTAGTACCCGGGGCTGAACCTCTGTGATTGGAGCGCGGTTGTGAGCAGAGGGTTGGTGCTTTGGATGAGGCTCCTGCCTGATGGCGCTCAGCTATTGGCGGGAGAGGAGGCGTTAACTCGAGGGAGGAGAAACGACCCCTGAGCGACAGCACCCGCCGCTCCACCGAGAATCTATCCTACCCCAAGACTAAACAAGGGAGGCTTAAGAAACCTTCCGTTGCATAAAGCCCGCTCGACCCGGAAACAAAACCGTTTAAAAACTCACTCAGAGGCGGGAGGAATTGACGCGTGCGGAAGAACGGGCAGCTTCACCGTTGCTAGGCGACAAGGCAGGCTCACCTGAGCGCTCTCGGGACCAAGATCGAGTGGGACTGCGTCCCCACGTCAGAGGCTGGTGAGCTCGGCCACGAGTGTTTTTCTTTTCACGTCGGGGCCAGAACAGGGCGCGGCACCGTTGCACGTATCCTGAATCCGTAGTCGGCGAGTGTGGGCGACCTCCCGAGTCCCCTGTTAGTGTCAGGAGCCATGTGAATGCCACAGTTTTCAGGAGGGAAGAGTGTCTTGCAGTTTGAATCAGTGCAACTTTTCCAAAGTAAAGTCAGAAAGATTTGTTTGTGGAGTGAGAACCCTTTCCTTGCATTAGCTCGTGGTACACGAATCTAACTTTCTTTGCCTACTGTAAGCATTGACACTGTTTGCTCATTCTCTTTTTGGAAACTGGATGAACTTTAAAACTTGATAAAGTTTTGCCAAACCCGTTATTTCCAGGGGAGGTTGGGAGACACTGATTGTTTGAGGCGGAATGTTAGCGGCTAAAACAACTCAAGAGACTTTGATTTAAAATGAAAGTTGTTAAGGGAAATTCTGTATTCTCTGTTTGTTGTGCGCATATTCATTCGAAAAGATGTGGTGCTTTGGAACAGACCAATGAATATGCCCTTGGTCTAACTTCAGAATTATCTGTCACTAGTAAATGGATGGTGAATGGCTTCAGTTTTGTTTTTGGAAGATTTAGTATTTGGAAAAGAAATATGATGCCTTAGAGTCAATCTTAGTTAGGGCTTCTATTTCTGAGATGAAACACCATGACCAAAAGCAGGTTAGGGAGAAAGGATTTATTTGGCCTACACTTCACATTTTGGCTCATCATTCGAGGAACTCAGTATAGGGAGGGACCTGGAGGGCATGAGCTGTTGCAGAGACCATATTCCTCAAGGCTTGCTAAGTCTTTTTTCTATAGAACTCAGGACTATTAGCCCAGAGATGGCACCACCCATAATGTGCTGGGACCCCCCCCCATCATTCTGAAATTTAAAAAAATGACATATGGGCTTGTGTACAGCCTGATCTTATGGTGGAAGCATTTTTTCAATTGAGGATTTCTCCTAACTTATGATTGTAGCTTGCTTGTGTCAGGTTGACATAAAACTAGTCACTACTGGGCCCAATAGCATTTAGGTTTCAATTTAGGTTTGTACCTTCCTTGAATGGCTCCTCAAATCCCTTTATTCATTTGATGCCTTTCTTTTGTTCTTGAGCACTGATCTTTTACGTTGGAATACTTCCTGTGTCTCTGTCCACACTTATTTCTAAATGTTACCTCTGTGTCAGAGACTCTCAAATTCCAGGGAATGTCTCTGTACTTTGTTTCTTCTTGGTTTTCTAATAGGCATTAGTTCTGTTACTTTATAGTACTTCCTACTGAAGATGCATGTGTGAAAACATCACACTGTAGCTAGAGATAGCAGGACTTGCCCCTAGTTTCACTTGTTGGCTGAGGGAGATATTACAGGATTTCCAAGTGAAGAGAGAAGGGCTGGAGCTGATTTAATGGTGACTATTTTAATAAGTCTTTTAATAAATGTTTTAATAAGTCTGCCACGGGACCTTAGGATAACAGTTTTAGTTACTGCCTTTTAGGAAACACTGTAGCATGAAACAAGATTTTGTAATTCCTAATGGTAACATGGTGATCTGTGAGTAACTATCTGTGAGTAACTAACATATGCTCTGTCTTGGAAGCAGTGGTGAGGACACAGACCCATATGTATACTGCAGTGGTAGGCTGGTTAGTTTTCATCACAAACTAGAGTCACTTGGAAGGAGAGAATTTCCTGAGTGCTGGGATTAAAGGCATGTGCCACTACTATTGCTGACTGTCTTAGGGTTATTATCGCAGTAACTTGGGGAGGAAAGGGTCTTTTTGGCTTATATGAAGGAATCAAGACAGGAGATCAAATATGAAAGGTCGCTGAACAAACCAGTAAGCAGCATTTTCCTATGATCTTTGCTTCAGTTTCTGCCTTGGGTTCCATTAGTGATAGACTGAGATGTGGAAGTGTTGAAGTAAACCATTTTCTCCTCCAAGTTAGTGTTTTATCACAGCATTTGGTAGAAGAAAGTCATCACCCAGAGCAGAAGCTTATCCTCAGAGATAGCTCATCTTCAGCCAGCCATTTCTTCTACTATTGGGTTTCCTATGATATTTGTGACTTCTGAAGTGCTGACTGACCAGGAATGGGCCTTGCAAAGCCAAGAAGCCCAATTTTTGCCTCAACGATTGTCTTCTATCCTGAAAGAAGCCAGTCATGATGTGTTTATTTATAAGACTGTTCAGGTTTGGATTGTACCAGTAATGCAGGTTGGAAAAAGGAGCCTACTAAGGTGTCTGTATATTTTAATATGTCCTTAGCTTTCTTATCCTGCCTTAGTCCAGGCTTCTTACTAGCCAACATCCAGTTCTTCTCACAGTTCCTCACTTTGGATTCTTTCTTGGCTTAAGTCCATTTCTTCTTTTTCATCTCACGTGTATGTGGTGTGTGTGTATGCATGTTTTCATATGTGTGAGTGCATGTGTGTCTGGAGATACTCTCATGCGTGTGTATGAAGTGTGTGTGAGTAGAGGCCCAAGATTGACTTTAGGAGTCTTGAAGTGGAAACTTGTGGTGTCTTTGGAAAGTCAGTTGTGTCAGATGGTGTTTTGCTGGGGGAAACACATGAAAGAGTGTCTTCCTGAAGCAGACACAGGTGAAAGGATGTTTTGCTAAAGCAAGCATGATGAAGGATTCTTTGTTAATGATACACATGTATTGGTTAGCTTTACACTGTGTAGCAGAGGTCCATTTGTAGTGACTCCATAGAGAGAAATGCACCAAACCCTCCCCTCTAGTGGTGGTCTGGCGGCTTCTTGCAAGCTTTCACTGACTCCGATGATTAGCAGAGTGATGTCAGCTGTTACAGACTCATGTGTTTTGCTAAGACAGACTCACGTGCTGAGGCATGACAGGTGGTGAGGCAAGACCCATGGAGGACACGTGATGTTTGGAAGGAGTATAAATAGGACTCAATGGACAATGATGAGGTTTGCATAGCTAGCTTTGCAATGCTTCTTGGTCTTGTGTCTTTGCTGATCTTTGCTTTGATTGGCAGAGAAATTTTCCTGGCATCCCTGCTGGTCCTGGTCACTTCCACTGATTCGGCAGAAGCCTGGCTGTCTCTGCTAGGCTGTGTAACCCCTGCTGATTCATGTTTGTTCTCCTGACACTACTGAACTGGACTGCTGGTGTATTTGTGAAGTATTTGTGAGTGGACGGAGATGGAATTGGAAATAAACAAAAGAAAACTCAGATTTGGAAAAGGATTTATTACCTTTAGATAGTCAGATAATTCAGTAAATTACAGACAGTATTACAGTATTGTAAGGTGCCTAATATTTGCCTTAAATCTTATTGTTTCTTTCTCATTTGGAGTTCCTTTGATTAATATGGTCTAGAAATGTTGGGAAAACATTGCAATAATACTTCAGTGCTGTCTTAAGCAATTTGAACCTTTCATTTGCAGTAATTCCTTTCCTTTGCCCACTAGCCCTGCTTCTTGTCTTTTGTTTTGTTTTTAGAAACACGAGGAGTTGGGTATGGGTTGATTTACAGATACTGGATACCTTAACAGTGGCTACACTCCTGGAGAAAATGTCTCCCCTTCCACTACCAACCATCACTGCATCTAGATCAGGGAGAGTCAGGCTCATTTCACCGAAGATCTGTACTGGCCTACTCTTTTGCAGGTCCTGTCAATCATAGCTCATGTGAGTTCAGCATGGGGCAGCCTTGTGATGCCTGAAAGTCAACATCCCCTACCCATCCTTTAGCCGTTACATTCTTTCCATTCTTACTTCTGAGCCTTGATGGGAGGTCAATCATTTCCCTTTGTGGTTGGTCATTAAACACATTATTTTCCATACCATGACAAGTTGTGAGTCTCTAGTTACCACTGACCACTGCAAAAAGAAGTTTCTCTGTCAAAGTAGATAGCCATGAGCATAAACATACTTATTTTGAAGGCAGGTTGATGGGGACATGATGTCTTTTGTAAACTGGATTAAGGACTATATTAGCACTGATTATATTGCCTTATTAGGTAATATAATATGTTGGAATGGAGGAATTTTAGTCTACTGGGGTAAATTGGCACATTTGCTATTATAGTTGGTCTAAGTGGAGTAAATCATGTTTGCTGTTATACTAGGTTTGAGGCTATTTGTGTGCTGTTCCTTCTTGGAAAACAGTCTTTTGGAGTAGCACAGCCTGTTTTCCCAGTTTCATTGTGAATTTTCATGCAAAGGTGGTTTCTGGATACTAAGTAAACATTCTCTTTTGTTAGGCAACCAACAATATACATTAAGCCATTGTGTTAGCTTTGGAGATGTAGTTAACTCTTTATCCCTGTAGAAATATGAAAGGTTTCACAAATCTGTGTGGCATCTTTGTGCAAGAGATGTGCTGACCTCTGTATAGTTTCCATGTTAGGGCATGAGCAGCTGAAGTGCATACTTTATATATATATATATATATTTGTCCAGATCGGCATTTTTGAATGTTTAATTCTAATTGCTGAAAATATTTGGAATACTATTGTACAATCTCTAGTAGGAATACTAAAGAAGCACTAATTTTGAGATCTTTGATAGACGATGTTGACTCTTCCTACTCTAGGCATTCTGAGGCTTACAAGATCTTCTTATATAGTATAAAATTGTTTCTCTTCATATTGATTTTTATTTGTAGCATATGTGAAATTGGCATACATTTTAATGTTTTTTTTTAATGCAAGATAAAACTTTTAAGCCTTTACTTTGTTCTGTTTTCTTGTTGTTTGAGACAAGATCTAAAACTAGTCTAGGATGGATTAGAATTCACTATATAGTTCAGGATGGACTTGAACTCACAGCAATCCTCTTCCCATAGCCTCTTGAGTGCTAGGGTTACAGGTGTCAGACACTCAGCTGGAACTGGTAAGCTTTTATATAATTATTTTATTGCAATCTGATTTCCTCTTACTGCAAGTAGCTGAGTGATAGTTAGGACAGTAATGGTAAGAAACCTTTGCCGTTGGCCTCATTAGCTGCATTTTTTACAAATCTGTTTTTTGGTACAACAGCCATGTAATTAATAATAGCTTTGTTAGGTAGTATATAGAATATGAGAAAAAAAGAATCATTAAAAGAAAGGTTAACATTTGTGAGATAAATCAGAAACCGATTATTATAAATATTTTTAAGTGAGTGTATAGGACTAAATACTGACTTATCTAAACGAAAAGACATATCTGTTTTTAAATATAAGAATAACGTGGTTAATCTTGGGGATTCTTTGGTCTAGATAACATGAAGAACATTTTTAAAAGTAGGAAGTCTTTCTAAAATGAATGTGTAGCATTTAAAAAACAATGATCACATTCCCTTCAGTATGTCTCAAGCATAGTTAAACCTCAAATTAAGCTTAGTAAAGGCAACCTCCCACAAAACCCAACTTATAATTGAACTTAAAATTGAACCAGGTTGAGAACTACTTTATTTCTATTTCATATACACACAGTTTAAATACATCCCATAGCAGCATGTCCTGATGCACACACCTACACTCTTACGTTTGCATGTCCTACTTGTGTAGACTGTGCTATCTTCTGTGTCCTTTCAGCTTTACTGTAACTGCATGAGTTTTGACTAGTATTTTCAGATGTGGTCAAGTACAAGATATTTTAATAGTATTAAATTTTAGTCGTTTGATCTTCATGAAATCAAGTTTCTGTGAGTGGACGAAAGGAAGAACTGAGGAGAGTTAGTAACTAGGGCGTTCACATTTTCTTTTATTGCACTGTGCATGTGCATGCACACAGACATATGCATTTGTGCAGGTGTGTCACAGAATGCACATGGGGGTCAGAGGACAATTTGTGGGAGTTAGTTTTACCTTCTTCCACCATGGAGGTCTCAGGGATTCAACTTAAGCTGTCAGTCTTTGGGGCAAGTGCTTTTTACCCACCTTTAAAAAAAATTTAGGTGAAACAGGAGAAAACAACAGGATTCTTTTTGATAACTACATTTTTCTGGGCATATTAGCCAGCTAATCTTGGGATTTTTTTTTATTTAATTGGAAGAAGTGAAAATTAATTAGTTTTTATTCTATTTAGCCATGTGACCCTGAACATGTTTCTTGGTCTCTGTAAGCCTTAGTTTGCAATTGGTATGATAACACAGGATGATATAAAGTCTGGATAGATGGAGCAATTGTCCTTCCATAGATACCCATTTAAATCAAGTGATGTAGATGATACTTACAAGCACAACTCTGAAAATAATTCATATATTCAGAACAAATACATAAGACTGGCTTTTATCTCAGTATTCATGAGACTGAAGGAGGTGAATGCCAGCCAGGGCTACATAGTGATACCCTGTCTCAACTAAAAAAAAAAAAAAAAAAAAAAATATATATATATATATATATATATATATATGGATTACAGAATATACATTCATATGGATAAATATTAAAAATTAATGAAAATTGCATTATGTATGTTCCTATTCCTATAAAAATAATTGTATAAATGCTGTGGTTTGGACATAGTTTGTACTGTTGCAGACTGGTGTGTTAGAGACTGGTTGCCAGTATAAGCAAGGTGCTGCTGACTCCTTTAAGAGGTGGAGCCTGTGGAAGGTACTTATACTGTAAGGCCATTGCCTTCAGAAGAGATTAATGCTCATCTTTCAGGAAAGAGGCCTCTCAGACTGGATTAGTTACTGTAATATTGTTGAGTTGTACATCAAGACCATACCAGTGTGTTTAGCTTCTATTGCATGTGTTCACCCAAAGAAACAATCTTAAATGCTAGCATCTTGGATGCCCTAAAAGATCACAATCCTTAGATTCTAAAATCTCAGAGTATAATTCTGAAAAAAGTTACTCTAAGACTTACATTTTTAGGAGAATTGTTTGAGATACATAAGAATACAACAAAACCCTTCATAGGCCACATTTTACTATTGGAGCCCACGTATTTTCACAAGCATAAACTCCCAGGTATCCTAAAATCAGTCAAGTGGATATGACACTGGTAAGCAGAGAAGTTACATTCATAAATAGGTCAAAAGCTAAAGTGTATAAATACACATCACTGTGGTGGGTAATGGTACCCAGACTAATAATGCAGTCATCTGAAATGAAGGCATTTGATAAAATCATTGAGAAAAACCATAACAGGGGCTATTGAGATGGTTCAGCAGGTAAAGACACTTTCTGTATGGGCCTCATGACCTGAGTTTGATCCTGTGTATCACTCTGGAAGGAGAGAACTGACTCTGAAAGGTTATCCTCTGACTCCCATGTATGTGTTGATACATTGTGCACACAGAGCTCTCTTCTCTCTCACTTAAAAAACCTCGGAACTGGGCAGTGGTGGCGCACGCCTTTAATCCCAGCACTTGGGAGGCAGAGGCAGGAGGATTTCTGAGTTCGAGGCCAGCCTGGTCTACAGAGTGAGTTCCAGGACAGCCAAGGCTATACAGAGAAACCCTGTCTTGAAAAGCGGAAAAAAAAAATATCTCGGAACATATCACCGTTGCGCCTACAGCCACTAAAGACCCAATACCTTGACAAATGTCATCCTTATAATGCAGACACATGAAGGAGATGTTGCTTCACTAATCTGGGATGTCTCAGAATACATACACACACATGAGTCTCAAAGTCTTTCATGGAACCAAATTTGTAAAACCTGTGTTGGATGTTGTCTTAGTTAAGATTTCGTTGCTGTGAAGAGACATCATGACCACAGCAACTCTTATAAAGGGCAACATTTAAATGGGGCTGCTTTCCAGTTTCAGAGGTCCAGTCTGTTGTCATGGTGGGAAGCATGGCAGCATAAGGTTCTGGGGATGACAGAGCTGAGAGTTCTAGTACTGATCTGGAGGCAGCAAGGAGAGACTGTGTTCTAAACTGGACATAGTGTGAGCATCTGAAAACTCAAAGTCTGCCCCCACTGTGACATATGTCCTCCTCCAACAAGGCTCTGCCCACTCCAGCAAGGCCACACCTCCTGATAGTGCTACCGCCTATTACCAAGCATCCTAACACATAAGTCTATGGGAACCATTCCTATCCAGACCACCACAGATGAATTAGAACTCTTATAAAAAGCTTTTCCAACCATTTTGTATCTACACTGTTAGAATTTACACAAAGATTAATTACATTGCATAGCAGATGGTAGAATATAATACTGGCACAGTAGTAGTGTGCTATATAGTATAGTTTCAAAAAGTGATTCCAACTCATTTATAAAGCGAATTTATTGGCCAGCCACTTAGGGGTCAAGCATTATTATTAAGGATAAAATATAGAAAGAACAGAGAGTTCATTATTTTTCATGGAAATTGCAATCTAGAGGAAAGTGAAGAGAGGTAAGCTTAGTCATTAAAGACAAATATAAATCATTATAATCTGTAAACATCATGAGGAATTTTAGACTGTAACATGATATTATAAAAGGTCTGCACATTACAATGTTGGTAAACTGCTTTTATGAATTAATAGCTCTCAGATTTTCTTCAGTTATTTTTATTTTAATAACTTGATCTCAGTGTGGGAAAGAGGTACAAAACTAGTTATTTAAGCCCCTTCTGCCATTTTAGGGATGTTTGAACTGACTTTTATTAACAATGGAAACATTGTTCAGATAAATTGCTGTGGTGTTAGTCTTAACCTTTAAATATACAACCCCAAGTATAGCCCTCCACCACAGTAGAAATTGTGGGTTTCATGATTTCCATGATTTCAATAATTTGGAGTTTAATTTGTTCAGATTGTGATTTAGGGAGCTTAGACTTTACAGATTTTGACCCTTTGGTATTTCAACAGTTGAGACTTTGACATTTGAATTGTCTTTTGGAATTATGATCTGAACTGCTTCTACACATGCCATGTGGCTGTTATTGTTAGGGTATATCATAAAGATCTCACCAGACATGGTCACCTAGTCTTGAACTTCTGGCCTCAAAAGCTATGCGCTCAACAAAACCTTAAAAAGTGCCTAATCTCAGGTATTTTGTTTTAGCAACATAGTAGACTAAGATGTAGCAGTTAGTCTTCTTCCAGATTTTGTATACATTTTGTAAACTAATAAGGAAGACCAGAAGAGGAAAAAGTTACTATGAGTAACTTTAGGATCTTTAAAATACTGTTCATCTGTTTCTTTAAGGTGCACTGCATATGATAATATTTTAAAAAACATGTATGTACTTTTAAAGATTTATTTTACTCTGAATTATGTATATCTATGTGTATCTTATGTGTGAGTGTACGATTTTTCCCCCTGGGCCTCATTGTCCTATGCTGTCAGAAACTTAGCTGAATCCCTAAGGGGAGCCCCCAGGAATTCATAGCTTGTTCTCTCACTGTCTACTCCAGAGATAACTAACTTGTCCTCCCAGCCTTGGGGTTCTGTCTTCTAGCTCAGATTGCTGGGCTGCTCCTGCTTTCCGTCTGTGT